GTATGATGTGTTCTTGTTTAAGAAATGCTGATTTTAATTTGCTACTCTAAAATTAATTAATGGTAATATACCAGGAGATCATACCAGATTCACACATAAGATTAAAAGTGTATTGAACTGGACCCAGAAATGAATGGGAAATTCTCTAGATAATTCTGCTCATGACATCATTCTATTTCACAATGAAAAGGAAAGCAAAAATCGGAGAAATTCATCCTAAAGTAATTCAGACTTCAGAAACGTTAAAAAAAAAAAACCCACAAGACAGTCTGCAGATGAGATTGGGGGGGGGGGAGGGGAGAAAGAAAAATCAAATTTTAAAATGCAATCTGTCACAGAAGGTCTGGAGGATATTTCATTGTAATGGGGAGTCCAGGGAAGATGTGCTCTTAAGGATCAGAAATAGTAGGCGCTTGAAAACCAGCGCTTTCTGTCTAATTAGCAGTCAGTAACAATTCTGCAAAGAGGAGAGATAGCCCCAGGGAAAGGAAAGAGAGGAAGCCAAGAAATTTTGTCTTTGCAAAGAAAATAAGAAACTTTATCACTGAGTCCTTTCCTCTAATGCTTGGAGATGAGAATGTTCAGGCGAAGCAATCCCCTTTGATGCTTACGGGCCCCTCACGTTCTTAGGGACAGAAAGGAGACCGATTTATGACTGAATCGGCTTGTGTCTCTTTACTAATCACAAGCTAAGCGAGTGATTCTGTCCCCAGAGGGATTGAATGTTCCGGTCTACATGGCAGTCAGCATTCAACATCACTGAACCACAACGATTAAGTAAATGTACCTGAACCATTGGGGACAGGGTCACCAACCGAGGTGTTCCAAGGAAGCCCAAGCGTCAGCTCGGACAGCAGTGACCCAAGAATGCAAACTGTTCTGATTCTTACCATGCAAAATGCAAGTGGGAGCCACTAATTAATGAGCTAATTAATTAGTCGATTAAATGTGAATGTCTCCAGAGAAAGTGCCAAGAAATTAGACGTAAGATTTCTTCATCTCCTGCTTATTGATGGAGCATGACATCACTGAATATTTAGGTCTGCTTTACTGAGTAATAGCGCTGGTGACTGTGACTAGAAATCATTCTCAGAAAATGCATCATTTTGTGTGTTTTGTTGGTTTTATTTGCGTGGTAAAAGACAGGGAGATCCTGTTTGCCAAGTTACTCCTGCCTCGCCCACAGTGGGTAGGGCTGGGCTGGGCTGGGCGAAGGCGGGAGCTGGCATCCCAGCCCAGGTCTCCCGGAGCAGACGGTGAATGCTCCAAGCCATCGCTGGTGCCCTCACGGGCTGCAGGAGCAGGAAGGCACTGTCCTGAGCACAGCTGGGACTTGAACCCAGACACTTGGGCTTGGAATCTGGGATTCTAAGGCTTATCTTCAACACTGGGCCAAATCCCTCCCACTCCGCCATTGAGGTTTGAAGACACAAATACACAACTTGGAAATATAGTTCAGATTAAAAATACAAACAACTTTTCATCAACCTCTTTTCATCCAAGAAAGAACCCAAAATAACGCCAGAGGACATCTCTGTGGAAATCTGGCTAGCTCTGGAGTTGACCACTGGGCAGTGCACCTGCCTCTGGGGTCTCCGAGCACACACACTGTGCACAGGTCTCAGAGGGCTGCCTTCGTCGTTAAGTTGTGTTTGTAAATATGCCATTTTATGCAAATAGTTCTCATAAGACTGTCATAAAAGCCGAGACCCGAAACGAGAGGCGCAATTATCATTATTGCTATTATTATAAGTAAACTGTATGTGCAACTTTGTTGCTATCTGCAAGAACAGGGGCAATTTAAATTGGCCAGCTCTGTAAAACTTAAGCTTAAGTAGTTTTCAGTATAAAGATGTTCCACATTTTAACAAGGGAAATATTGTTATCACAAATTGAGTGTTGTGTGCAAAACATTCCCACTACAAACAGATGCAATTTCGACTTGTTCCGTGTCACGTTAACCTCTCGGTAAAGGTGTTAACTGGTCGTCTCTCTGAGATCATTTATTGTGGCTTGCTTTGTTGCCGATGGTATATATGGCCCAACGTATGGAATAGTTAAAATCCATGTTGTTTCCGTTTGATTTGCAGGCACAGATTGTAGGCACTATTTGGAGGGTTTAAGAGCAGTGAGGAACTGGCATTGTGGTGTAGTGGATAAAGCTCCCAGTGGCAATGCCAGCATCACACGTGGATGCTGGGTTACATCTGAGCTGCTCTGTTCTGATGCAGTTAAGAGCTAGTGACCTGCGAAAGGTGACAAACGATGGCCCTGCCCACAAAGGAGACAGGGGATGCTCTCGGATCCTGGCCTCAGTGCAACACAACCTTGGTCGTTGCTGTCATTTGGGGAGTGAGACAGTGGAGGAAATACTTATCTCTCTCTTCTCTTTCAACCCTGCCTTTCAAATAACTCGTCCGTTCTCTTGTGACTGCGTGTGTAAACTTCCTTCTGTTAGCATTTCAGAGCAGCAAGAGCTAGGCTTGATGCTACACATGATGTATTGCTTCCTTGGAGAAATCCGCAGGGCTGCTGGGCTGAGTGTTGCACTTGTTCACACGAAGTTGTGTACACAAGGGTATGTGTCCTGCCTCTCATTGTGTTTCTCGAGCTGACCCCTCATGAAGCTTCCCCAGGTCCTGTTTCGATCAGAGGAGCAAAAAGGCAACTTCACAGTCTGCCCCAGAGTGCCAAGTGATAATGCTAAGCTCCAGCTCCATCCTAGCTTGGTGCTTTCTGCCTTCACAGACTAGGGATCACAGCCCTTGCCTCACTCTGCTGCACGGGAGGGCCACTGGAATATTCAGTGCACCCTCCAAACAGGAACAGACTTCTGCAGAGCTGCCAACACATTGGGGCTGCCTGCTTGGGAATACACCACTTCTCCATTCTGCCCTTGCTGATTCTAATTCGACATCTTCTCCAAGATCCCATTTTATTTCCTATATTTGCTGTTCAGCTGTCAATACTAACGTGTCTTCTGCATAAATACATAAAGGAGTAACTTTTTACGTCTAACTTATAAAATGCAGTAGTGCTTTTTTGTCTGGAATGTTGACGTGACCTAACCGTAACCCCATGTCATAGATATGAAGTTGTAGAGTACACAGTAGCCCAATGATCACCGTCACATTGACTTGACAGCCAAACAAATAGCCACTTACAAAACTTAATGAAAATGTTTATGTGAATCCTATTGAAATGAAGACTAAGTGAAGCTTTTAATAAGATCGCAAAAACCTGAATATTGAATGGGATTCTAAAAGGACGGCTTACTTATTTTTTTTTTTTTTGCTTTATTATGTCCTTCCCTGTTTATTTTTCTGTCCCCTTTCTTCTCTTCCTTTCCATTCAACTCTCTTCCCTTTCTCTCCTCCTTCCCATGTTCCATTCCTTCTTTCTTTTCTTTCCTTTCTTCCTATGGGAATTTATCATAATCTAAAACACACAGCTATTGGAGATCATCATATCCCAATTCAGGCTGTTTTTGACAGGACCCAGTGGGGACTACTTAGATTCCTGGTAAACGGTAAGCATGATTTGTGCCTGCACTCAAGCTGGGCTGGTTGAACCAAAACCAGCCCTAAAACCATAGACTTCACAGAAAGTCATCTCTTGCCTGAAGAAACAGACTAGACTTGCACAGCAGACTTGGAATGACGGAGTGACCAATTCTGCTCGCAGGAGGGAATGCTACTGAGAAGGAAAAATTAAGAGAAAGGTCAAATTACAGCGTTTCCACTTTTATCTTCAGAGGATGGTTTAATGATCATTCATATTGCTAGAGGCAAAAGTGGTGGGTGCCCCGGGACTTCAGAAATACCTTTTGAGCCATTATACCATACTAGAGAACATGTTTCTAGATGGAGGGTGTTTTAAGTTGTAGACATCACTCTTCTCTATGCTTAAGTAAAACATCTATCAGGAGACACCAGGCACCATGGGTCTTCCAAATCTAGCATGATATCTGTAGGAGCAAATAGGCCAGCCCAGAGCTGCCCATGGGGTCTCACCACTGGACCAGATGAGATGGCGACAGTCTCACAGATAAACACTTGCCAGTCAGCGCCTTGGGTGAGGTGCTCTAAAACAGAAACGCAGCAGCACATTGAGTTATGGAATTCAGAGCAGATAGGGAGTTTGGCAGGTTGGGTGATAGAGAGTTGGGACCAAAGAGTGTTCTCCAGTAGGTAGCTTCAAGAGCTCCCGTGGAATTTGACGTGGTGCAGCGCTCATAAGCAGCGGGTTCCAACATCACTGGTGAATGCTGACTGAATTAGTCCCCACTGCTTTCTGCATTCAAAACCACGTGCATTTTCCCTGTTGTCCAAGGTTATAATGGGAGTTAAGTATACTTTCCTGAATGTTTTCTATTTCATACGTTTTTGAATCAGGTATAATAGTGGTAAATCAAAGGTAGGTCCCCTTAGTGATCCTAACTTTAGAAGCCCTTGAAAGTGATTAAGAAGTGGTCATCATTTGCATTTATTATACTTTGCATGTAACGAGCATTAACGATTAACTAATTTGCTTCTCATCGTATTCATCAAAGACGAACTATTTAGAAACTAAAGCATCGTTGTCAGAATTTTAATGAATTAAGATGAAATGAGATGTGCTAATTGGCAGTTGGTGCTGTGGCAAGGTTTCTAGAATGTGTAAGCGAAACCAATTCATCTCTCTCTCAGGGTTAATTTGATTAAGCTCTAAGGATACACTGTATATTTTCCAAAGTAGCCATATGTGTTTTCAGAACTGAAAAATGGCTTCATTCTGTTGATCTTTCATCTGGATTCTCAATTTTATTAGAACTTACTTTAATTATTAGTAAGTAGTTGGCTCTAAGCAATTATTTCTTTGGTACACACACACACACACACAGATGCATATACATAATACAGAATGACATTTGAATTTTTTTAAATTTAAAATGCTCCAAAACTTCCAGTGTCTAAACTTTTAAAATCAACAGTCGTCTTCCTGTTTTCCTTCTTCCTCAGACATCAATGAATGTGAAGCTGAGCCTTGCAGAAATGGTGGGATCTGCACAGACCTTGTGGCCAACTACTCCTGCGAGTGCCCGGGTGAATTCATGGGAAGGAATTGCCAATATAGTAAGTACTTACACACACATCACTGTATCCCTGTCCCCTCCAGTTACTGAGGAATCTTGGCCAAAGTCAACTCCGGTTGCGCCCAGAGTGTGCGACTGATGAGAAGGTTACAGCATGTTTGATGTCATTGGTGTAAATGCATACTGTGGGGTCCTGGTCAGTCAGTGTACAAGTTACGCCAGTGGTATCTTGCCACCTGAAAAGGACAGTTCAAGTGCCCCAGCCCAAGGTCTCCCGTGAAGCTATTGCTTGCATTTGAGTATGTGTGTGATTTCCACTCACACCACCGATGAGCTCTTTGGAGTCAGCAGGACATATGAGTGAGAGATCATGGGTCCCAGATCAAAGGTGGTGATGATGGATGGTGCTGTGACCTCACCCACCTGTCAGCAGGAACGTGTCGCTCTGTCTTCTTGGGAACCTGAGAATCAGTTCCCCTCTTTTGCTTTCCCTTCAACTGTGATATTTAAAAAAATAAATGCGGACTATTGTGACATACATGCATAGATGTTTTTACAGATGGGATGGAACAATAGAGCAATGACTAACCTGAAGTGTTGGCACAGAAGCATAAAGCTAGACTCCTTAAAAGTAAGCAAGATTGAGCAGGCAGGTAACAGGATCTGAGTTGTTGGATGGAGCCCGGACGAGGCTGAAGCACCTGCTAATGAGAACACTCAGGATAGAATCTCGTGATTGCTGGGCGCTGTGGAAACTGCTTCCTAGGCCTCGGCTTGGACACATGGGATACACTCTGAACATCACAGCATCATGCAAATTCAAAATGCACATACACGTGAGGGTCTAGTGGTGGAGACTGGGATGCCTGTGGGACGTGGCTGGCGCGAGCCCTCCCAGAAGAGGGGCCGAAGGAGAGCCAGGAGGAATGCAGGTGTACTTGAGCCAGAGTGCTTCCCTCTAAGTCAGAGTTCAGATGGGGATGAACACGTGCCACCAGTCCTCTCTCCCTCCCCATGTGCGTCTCTGTCTCAGACACATTCCCTCTGTCCCTCCCTTTTAGGTAAGTCATAGTGCCAGTTGTATTCCTTATGGGTCCTCTCTTCCTTCCTCTTTAGTCCTCGTCTTAAAATTGAGAATTTTGCTGATACATGAAATATATATCATCTATTTAAATATATATATGTGTGTGTGTGTGTAGCCTCAAAAGAGCATACTGATCAACCTAACCCTGCGACATTGCATTAAAATAGCCAGAGTCTGAATATCAGAAACAAATCTTGGGTGGGAAAAGGCCCGTTTTCGGCTTTGAGTGATTGGCAAAGCTCAGTGAGATGACTAGACGTGTGGAAAGGAGCAAGCCACAGAAGCCAAGAGGACACAGGCCCCTCCTGCCCCAACCAGCTGAAAGGAGCTGCGGTCTTGGGTCCTTTGGGCCACCTGCCCATGAAGCATTGTGCCTCCTCTTCACGGGAGTGAGCTCCAAGTCAGGGTCAGCTGCTCCCCTCCCTCTGTATCCTGGGCTCAACATCCGCAACCTGCATTTGCATATCCTGTGAATTTGAAAGTGGCTTCCCAAGCCGACCTAGAACTTGTGTTACTACAAGCACCTGCAAGATGTCTGCCAATGAACATCCTGTTAATATGATCAAAACAAAACAAGTGCCAGTGTCTGTTAGGCAAACATGCAGCAAAAACAGGTCTGGGAATCGACTCTTCTAGGAAATCCTGGAACTCTGGCAGAGCTCATCACAAAGCCTGGGTTAGAGCTTTGATATGACACAAAGCCCAGAGAAGAGCTGGCATAGTCAGGCCCACTCTGACCCTTAGGGTCTGTGGCTGGAGATGCAACTCACAGGGGGATTCTTAGAGTTTAGGCCCTATGTTGTGAGTTGTCTTTAGGGATGAGTGGCATTTTGGGGGTAGTATAGATCTGACCCCTCTCACTGAGTTCAGGAAGAACTGATGTTTAAATATATAGGCCTCCCGGGAGGGAACCTGGTGTGTAGCCACAGGGATGGAAGAATGGGAATAGACAGTTGATAGCTTGGGGTTGAGGAACCCAAGAGGAAACCATTCAGGCCACAGAGCGGAAGCAGTGTCCTTGCACACCCTCCAACCCCATTCACCTTCCCTTCACAGTCAGGTCCATCTGCAGTAACCAGCAGGCATATAGGAATGTTGTCATACGGACAGCTGCCGTTGCTAACAGGCCTGCAAGACTGGAAAGCCATGATTTTGCTAATAATTTTTTTCTGCTGCACAAATGGATTTGCTCATCTAGGTTCCAATCTCCTTTTTGCTTTTCCCTCATGATTTACTAGTCTTTAAATTTTAAGCTGGTCATCCAATAAGATTGGATGACATATTTTGAATATTAGTGACATAACACATTTTGAAAATCTTCAATATATACATTCCTTTCAGTTAAAGAATTAAAACAAGATATTTCACTGAGATTTTGCTTTAATAAATATTCCAAAATGAACAGTGCTTTGTCTTTAATAAGGATATTATACACTTTTATTTTATGAAGAATAAGTATATATCTAATTTTGTGTTATGACCTGATGCACAATGTTAGGGTCTAAATTATACAGACCAATCAGCCATGACCATTTCAATGGCAATATAATATTTTAAATGCTAATAATGAATCTCTTCATACCTGGCAGGAAATTTACCCATAATTTTTCCATTAATTATTTTCTAATTGTGTTTAAAGATACTTCAAATCAATAATACCTGTGATATTTCCAACTTCAATTTCTAGATATTAGTCATACAACTATTTATTTTAGCCAGCTCAATTATTTTTTAATTGTATGTTTCATTTGTTATAGGAGGCTTGATGAAACTTTACCATTTTTACTTTAAATGTATTTTACTTTTGATGGATATGTGAGCGTTCTTTGCTGTTACTGCAGAATTCATCGTAGCATTACATCACTTCTTGTAATTAAGATCGGAATTTGGATTCTCATGCTGCTTTTATTTAAGACATGTTTTTGAAGAGTGACTTTACTTGATAGAGTTATGGAGAAAGGAGGCAGCAAACTTGCAGTCACGGGTCAGCTCTGCTGTTGGCCACAACAGCGTAGACCAAAGCCAGGAACTTCACCCTCTCTGCGTACCAGAGGCCCAGGCACTTGGGCCATCCTCTGCTGCCCTCTAGCAGGGAGCTGGATTGGAGGTGGGGCAGTTAGGACATGCATGGGTGCACATATGGGCTGTAGCAAGCACCGTCAGCAGCCCCACGGTGGCCCCGTTCCTGTCCCCAAAACCCTCCTGTTGCTTCTAAGTGGACATCCGCTGAGCGGACAGCCATTTTCATAAACAGCTTGGAAGGGAGAGGATGCTGACCAGCAGGGAGAGAGCTGTTCTCAAAAGATGATATGCTTTTCCACGTGTGTTTCACAGAACATGATGTTTAAACTAAAATGAATGCAATAGAAATGGATGGCACTTGAATGAACTAATCTGAACATAACTAGGACTGTTTTCACTTATGGGACCCACAACAACCGTATCTATTTGCCTCTTGGGTGTTTAAATGTGACATGATTAAATTTCAGAAATGGCACTCAAATTCATTTTCATCACTGATACTACTTCTGGAAATTAAGATAGTTACCAAGGGACCTCTTATTCTGCAGCATCCCCACGCTGTTAGCCAGAAAGAATTAAGACTTGGGTAGCTTCAGAGGGTTTGTTAAAAATAAAAATGAAAATCTGCAGCTGAGGTTAGAATGAGGTTGCCAAATGTCACAGTATCCAAGTTGCTTTTGTTTTTAAGATCACTTAGATACACGCACAGCCCTTTAAGATTTCTAGGTTTGAAGTAATTAGGACAAAAGGGGATCACATCTGAGTACAAAGTGAAAATTAAACATCTTTCCAGCTCTTCCTTTTTGAGCTCAGCCATAATTCTTTAAGCTTTCGTTATGAACCAGTGCTGATACTCTGACCAGCATAGGATACTGCATACAGTGCATGCGTTTACATATATGTTCTTCTGATGCCAGTGTGTCTGTGGAAGTGCAGGCGTTATGTAGGAAACTGGCTAAAACATTTTGCAGTGGAACAAACACCATGGAATGTTTCTACATGCTCGACATTCTGTTGCCTTGTAAGGGTTAAGTTCCAAATAGTTGCAAACTTTTCAGTAGTGTTGATTTTAATTTTGGATTTTGTCGTGTGATGAGCACTGTCATAAATTTCCTTTTTAACATTCGCACGTTTTAATCCCCCTCTGCTCCCAGTGTCGTGGGTGCAGTTGATTTCTGATTACATTAAAAGGGACCTCAGAGCTGGTGAGTGAGTCATGAGTCACGTGCCTCGCTTCTCCAATGTAAGTGAACCCTAAAGTAGAGTCTTAATCCCAGACGGCACAGCTGCAGAACCGGTGGTACTGAACAAGGAGCCTGCGTGGCAGGCTGTGTCCGGTTCACTGGGGGCAAGGGAGGCTTGTTCAAATCTGTCGGCAGCTTTATGTCTTCGGCGCGTTAGTTGTGCCATCTCCACCTCAGCTTGTTCCTCCATAAATGGGATTGATAAAGCTGTCAGGGTTCTGCTGAAGGCAAGCTAGATTTAATTACATATATAAAATACTTAGTACTCTGTGTTGATAAACTTTACACAAATAGGCACATGCGTTTTGAGTTGCTTGAAAAGTTAATAGCAGTGTACCCCACTTTTTTCATTTTGTGTATTTTTAAACTTCATTAGATACTCAAGCAACCCTCCCCACCATCCAAAACTCATTGTGTATATTTGAGAACAGTAGTAGACCCGTGAGCAGTACTGCTTTTTATGTCATATTTGACAGGGGCATCAACTTAACTTCAAACAAATATTCTCTATCCTACTGCAATCAAATAGGAGAGAGAGGTTACTGTAGGTTTTACGTTTTAACTGTGATACGGTATTTCTGAGCCCATGAAAACCTGATTTCCTCTCTTTCTCTGTGCGTGTTTTTGATTATTGTAAGCTGTCACTATAATTGATTAGTATTTTACTGAGTTGCAAATGGGAGCAGATAG